AAGTTTCTCCAACAACTATTTGGCTTTATAAAGGGGTTTGACAATATATGGAGGGAGACAAATAAAGGATTCTCATAATTATAAATTAAAAAGGACAACGAAATAATGTTGACGGTAAGTGACTATAGTAGCAAATGAATTGATGGTGGTCTGTAGGTACAGTGGATTGAGCACACTCCTTTCAACAAAACAGCGCCAGTTAAATTCCCTGATTGAACATCAAAAAGGTTTCTGCAAAAATGGTTTGACCATCTACCAAGAACAAGGGTAGTTGGATCTACTGGGAATGATGGTGGCTGATTATCTACTGAGAATGGGGTGGCTGATTATCTACTGGGAATGAAGGTGGCTGCATTATCTACTGAGAATGATGGTGGCTGCATTATCTACTGGGAATGAAGGTGGCTGCATTATCTACTGGGAATGATGGTGGCTGCATTATCTACTGGGAATGATGGGGGCTGCATTATCTACTGGGAATGATGGTGGCTGGGTTATCTACTGGGAATGAAGGTGGCTGGATTATCTACTGGAAATGATAGTGGCTGCATTATCTACTGGGAATGATGGTGGCTGCATTATCTACTGGGAATGATGGTGGCTGGTTATCTACTGGGAATGAAGGTGGCTGATTAGCTACTGGGAATGAAGGTGGCTGCATTATCTACTGGGAATGAAGGTGGCTGCTTTATCTACTGGGAATGAAGGTGGCTGCATTTACTACTGGGAATGATGGTGGCTGGATTATCTACTGGGAATGATGGTGGCTGGATTATCTACTGGGAATGATGGTGGCTGCATTATCTACTGGGAATGAAGGTGGCTACATTATCTTCTGGGAATGATGGTGGCTGCATTATCTACTGGGTATGATGGTGGCTGCATTATCTACTGGGAATGAAGGTGGCTGCTTTATCTACTGGGAATGATGGTGGCTGCATTATCTACTGGGAATGAAGGTGGCTACATTATCTACTGGGAATGATGGTGGCTGCATTATCTACTGGGAATGAAGGTGCTGCATTGTCTACTGGGAATGAAGGTGGCTGCATTTTCTACAGGGAATGATGGTGGCTGGATTATCTACTGGGAATGATGGCGGCTGATTATCTACTGGGAATGATGGTGGTTGGATTATCTACTGGGAATGATGGTAGTTGGACTTTCTACTAGGAGATGGTGGCTGGATAAAATTTACTAGTGAAGAAATCAGATGGATTATTTAGGCTCCACAGTACATTTCATTCCAATTACACACCTGTGTTTATCCCACCTCCAAAGGTATTTGAATACACTACTAATCAATTATACCTCACTTATACAGACTTTCACGGTACAAAAAATAAAGCATGTCATCAACTTCAAATAAAATCTTTATAATTTCACTTCTTTTTTGAGGTTAAGAATGTGTTTTTAACAACCCATATAAAATCACAATAAATTTAAGTACAGTGTACAAGGTTTACAAAAAAATTAATATATCAACTTAAATGGCATTTTAAATCTATTTTTAAAGGCATCAAGGGTGCAAACCGTGAATACAGTAAAGATATATTACGACAGGTTTAATGTTGGGATAGAAAGATGTATATATTAATGATATAATAAGAATTTCAGGTGATAGGATACAGGAATGTTGTTCATTTCCTGATCTACCGTAAAATGTATTGTCACCTGTCTTTATGTGTTTTCTCCATAAAAACCAATATAGCATAATCTATTACTTCAGAGGTGGAAAGTTTTTGAACAACTTCAGCATTTTAACAGTAAAACAAGCATCAAAGTAGGATAAAGTTTCTTATACACAGATTTTATAAAAAAGTTTTATTATTTTATTTTTTTTGCCCAATGATGAAGCATGATGTTTAATCTCGCCATCAATAGAGGTAATAATTTATCTGACATTCTATATATCTTTTGGTAAAGTTAAACCAAGCAGTGACAGTATTTATGTGTAACCTATATTTTGTATTCAGATTTAAATCTTACACTGCTTTCCACACAGTATTTCATTTATATCCAAAGGTAGGAAATGTACATAAAATTTAAACTCCAACATTCTATCTTCTGTCAGTGATTAATCCGGCAATAATGGGATTTAATTTGAGATTTATATATGCACATCATTCATAGTAAGATTGTGTATTAGACCGTGTATAAACTATGTAGCAAGTCTAAGCCATATCAACCAGCCTACAATCTACCTCACTCAATTTTTGAGATTGTGAATGAAATTTTCATTTGATTTTCCCTAATTCTTCTGTCATTTTAAAACACTTATTGAGCCATCTAATCAAAACATAAACAAACCTATTAACATTTGCATTTAAATACTTGTTCATTTTAATAAGCATAAAACTGATTGCAATATATATATATATACCTAATATGGACCTTTTGATTGGTTCCATACCTAATAAGGACCTTTTGATTGGTTCTATACCTAATAAGGACCTTTTGATTGGTTCGTTACAAACTTGCCAACTTTTAGAAATTTCCATGGGGGAGATAGTGCATGCTCAAAATTAAAATAAAATGTGTGTATACCTCTCGGGACAAAATTAACACTTTAAAATGTCATCTTCTGAAGTTTTCTTTCATATGAAATAAGCAGATCTTAGAAAATAGGAAAAGTTTAACAAATTCACCGATTGAACAATTTTAGGGTTCAAAATCGGGAGTATCCCCCCAAAATAGGGAGAGTTGACAAGTATGTCATTAGTGAGGACCCCTTACTTCCGGAGGTACATATAGGTTTTCACTTTGTGAACGTGTCAGTCTGTTGATTCTTCATGTTGTCAAGGACATGTGCTCTGTCATTTACATCTGATAAATATTCCATGCGAGTACCACTTGGAATGAAGTGATTGAGTGTCACATACAGAAATTGGTCTCTTATCCCCTCTATATATACAGAGTGATTGCCCCTTTGTTCATTGTGAATACTCTGGTCACCTCTAACTGCCTTTCATGCATTGAGGTACTCCTTGGGATGGCAGAGTGTAAAATACAGAAATTGGTCTCTTGCCCCCTTTATATACAGCGTTATTGCCCTTTGTTCATCCTGGATAACATTTCTGGTACAATTTGTATATATACTTTATCAATTTTAATTGTTACATATGCATATAAGTACCCCTTGGGATTGGCTATGGCAGAGAGTTACATCATAACTGAAATCAGGTCTCCTGTTATATATAGAGTTATTGCCCCTTGTTCATTTTAATACCAAACTTTTTTTTGAGGTGGGGAACTATGGATTGCTCATAATATTGCTCATTCACCCCTGAAGACACATTTGAACTCTTCCGAATCAAAGGTTGGAACAGTTCATTATGAAATTTCAGGGGTAAATGAATTAAGGCATAATTGTAGAATAGAAAATGACATCATGACTTTTTCTGGGTCAACTATGAATTAATTAAAACATTTTGAAAATTTAAATTTCATCCACAATCTCAAAAATTGGGATATCACAAAGGAGAAGACTGTTAACCAATAGTGCTTAGCTTAGAATTAATTTGACAGGTTGTGAACGGTATGCATATACTCAGGTATAAGGAACAGACTGACCTAACAATATAGGGGATGTTGTTCTACATACAAAATTCTTCTTTTGAAAAATCAAGCTTGCTAATGTACAACATCAGGACAAGTTGAAAGTAGTTACCAAAGAACTTACCTGATCAGAGGCATTTAGCCATGATATCACAGAGTCCATCTTATTGTATTGTTATACACTGGACACTGTCAAATTGACCTCCTTCTTAATCTCTATCAGGTGTATTGAGGCATGAAGCACATACATGTGCATACATAAGATATATCCGATCGGCATTAATATATTTTCCAATGTTTGAAAACAGACTGATCGTTTCTCTAGTTAGATCATCAGGAATGAATTACAGTCATGTACATCTAGATGTAATCCAAAACTAACACACAAAAATTCTGGACATGTCATATATTTTTTAAAACAACATAAGGTTGAAATGTCAATCTGATCAAGTTTGTTGACACACAAAGTACTGAATATCCGATTTCAAAATTTGAATCCAATTCCAATTTCATACCTTTGGCTTTGTCAAAGTATTTAATACTATTGTTTCATATATAAAATATAACCACTCAAAATTCCACCTATGTAGGTAGTGACCTGTCCCCAGAGTGAGCAGATTCTGTAGGGAGCATTAGCAAGATTCTGTAGCAATTTTCTCCATACAAGTGTAATGACTCAAATCCATGGTCAGTATTGCACGAGAATGACTTCAGGTATTTTCTTCAACAACACTTTTTGAAAAAGATCTAAATCTCTGACTTGATAAGCTATATTCCAGCAATATATTTGATAACATACTAAGTTGCAATCAAATTGTTATAAAACAAATTATAAGGCACTGTGTTCCCTAGTCTGAAACTGTCAGCATAGGGAGGTTTGATCATTCCCTGGTCCAAAACTGTCAGCAAAGAGGGTTGGATCATTCCCTGGTCCAAAACTGTCAGCATAGGGAGGTTGGATCATTCCCTGGTCCAAAACTGTCAGCAAAGGGAGGTTGAGTAATCCCCTGGTCCAAGAATACCAGTGAAGGGTGGATACCCATTCCTTGGTCCAACAATATGAGCAAAATGGGTAGGAACTGACAACACACTTGGCCAAGAGAGATGAAATTCCAGCTATTTCCTACTGCTGTAGTCAATCTTTATATATGTGTGTACTTGCTATCTGGGGTCGGTTATTTACGAGATTAATCAGTACAGAAAGCAGAGATTTAATTCCATTTACTTTCTGTCTATCTGCAAACCAAACAATCACACATTGCCTTATCACGGCTGTGATAACTTACCAGCCACTCACCGTTCAAACTTTCCTATTCAAACACTTTATTTCCTATTTGATACCCCGGTGTACTCTCAAATTCTTAATTGGTGAAAGTTAAGCAGAAAAACCGATATTTATGTAAAGAATTTCTACAGTGTAGTATAAACATGTTATAACTTACCTTTTTCCTGTCTTGAATGCGATATCTGGTGGCCATTCCGCAACACTCAAAGCAGGTAAACTTTATATCCCCTAGGTCCGAAATTTAAAACCCACTAGGGGGGCACACTGACAGGAATAGAGGTAATGGCTCGAAAACCTCCATCTGGAGAAAGTGCCTAATGGTCCATCTGAATTGGTCAGGACCCTACCACCTTAAAGGTGACAAGAAATGGTTTTAGTCTATTAAGACACACTTGACTTCTCATTAACAGGTGTTATGTCCAGGTAGCTTCCTTACAAACAGGTAAATGACAAGGTAGATATACTGTCGTGTGTGTAAATAGAATACACCTGGCTTCTAGCTATTGATCTGAGAGATTTTTTGCATTGACACAGTGTTACTGCTAGAAGGGCCGAGTACCTCCGTGATTCCAATACTCCAACCCTATTGGTCGTTAGCATGTCGATGGCATTAAATGTCCCGTCACGGGTCAGTCACAGAACAAAAGGAAGGCCCAACACTGTCATCAGCTGTTGTCTCAAAGTGTGGCATGTACATATATATTCCGTAAATAATACCTAGGGGTTTCGGATCAATGGTCCGTAATGATTTTAATAATTTCTCACAAACATCTAGATACAACATCCCGAAGCTAATTGGTTACAACACTCGGAAGTTTTTCGTCAACGAAATCAACTGAGAAGGAAAATCATTAGTCCTGACTGTGAAATCTACTCTGTATATTGGTATTTATCAAGATTTTAACAACGACATATTTCAAATAACATTGCAGTTATTTTATAACATTGTAAATGCCCTATTGAGAAAAGAAGTATTTAATTAAAACTGCAGGGGAAAAAAAGTTTAAAAAAACAAGAGACCCACAAAAACTTCCACGTGATGAATAATCGACTTTATCATCTAAATGTAATTTCAACCTTCATGTCAAGCAATGAAAGTCCATCTTTTTCCCATAAGGACTTATTTGTATTTGTTACCTATTCGAAAAGACATAATGATTTTGACTGATTTAAATCTGGTCTAGATCTACAATACTACATATAAATATACAGGCGTGGTTTTCAATACAAGCATTTAATTCAGCAAATATTTGATTTAATGACATAAAAATATTAATCATTTTCAATGAAATGAAAATTCACTATGGAATATTAATCATCCTTGGTTCCGCAGTCAACATTGATCCTACCGTAGTTGAGGCCAACGCCCATGTGTTCAATGTTTTATCAGCTTGATAGCCATAAATGCAGATTTTTACTTTAAATATTTTTAAAATTAACTGTAATTTTAGCCAATATGTACAAATGTTTATATGTAAAATTATTCCTGAGTAAGACAACAAATTTTGGAAATTCTCTAACATTTGAAGATATTAAGAAAAAAGAAATCTTTTGAAAATTTCATTAAATTATGTTGAAAGCTAACAAGTCTGTATGGTCCTTGTCTAGACTCATTTGGTGGACAATCTGACTAAACCATGCCTAACGGTCGAATTCTCTCACCCGGCTTGTACCTTCAACAGATCAATGACTCGCAACAATTACACTCACACACACAATACACTGTTAAATTGTTTTCTGGACTCGCAAATTCATTCCACTTAGTGTGTTCATTGGAGTGTGAATTGTCCTAAGGAGTTATTTCGTCTAAACAGATACATGTACAAACAGCTGAGAAGTATGAGGGAGTGTTTTTTAGGGCACCATTCTTAACTCATGCTTAATTAACGTTTAATTTGATAGCAAACAAAATATGCTGTAGTTGTTTAATTAATGAAAAGGTGACAATACAAATCAGAAGTAAATATGATGTTCAAGCTTAACATGACAGTGAAACCCTGTGTAAAGTTGTAAACTGGACAACCACCATTTGGATTAAACCAGTTAACAGCTGAAACAGTTGGGAGGTCTGTTTTATACAGGTGTCCAGATTACACAGATTCTGTTAACATAGAAATGTACAAATTAGGACCTAGTTAAAGATCCCGTTTATGCAGGTTTCAAAACTTCTTGGCTGCCCTGTATGTCTGAAAACTTTATATTTACACCCCTGTACAAAAACTTCAAAACAGCCCCATGCATGCCACTACATGATCAAATTGGCAAAAAAGGAACATTAATATGATACAGATGGATTCATTTGCATATTTACCTAATGCTGACCACAACATGCCATAACTTGATACCTGTATTGGCTTTTTTTCTTTATTAATCCTAAATAGAAAGTATCATACCTTTTACAAGACAACCCTTCAAGTATTAGGTCAAACAGAATATCACAGACATTAAAATTTAAAATTAGTCATTTTTGTACTTTCAGGTTTTTTTAGTTTTTTTCATAAAATTTCCACTTTGATACCAAAATACAAGAATAGCACAATATTTTTTTGTAGTATTATATACTTTTGATGTATTTTAAGAATTTAATCAATCTATTTTGTTATCACACTTAACAAATCTGCATGATATACCTAAACTTAAGAAACTATCAATGCATAAAATTCCTTTTTTGAAATTCCCTTAAGGTAGTTTAATTAACACAATGTAAAAATAAACCATTTTCCTGATTTAATTTATTTGAAAGATTGAAATTAAAACGTAAGCCTTATTTTAACACTTAACAGACTCATGGAGATCTTACTCAAAGCCAATTTTAACGTTCTGAAATATTTTAAAACTTGAAAATAAAAAAAGAATGACTTAGACATAATCTATTTTGTCACTGTAAATTTAGATTTTCTTTCCAAAGCACAGATTGGATTACTTTAACATAAACACACTCATAGAGACAAAAGGATTTTAAATCTACCTAGAACATTGTCTGTGAAGTTTTCCTTCAGGGGGTAACAGAGTACCGATCACTACCTGGTTGTAGATTTAAAAGAAATCACATTCAAGTTGGATCTTGACCTTTAATTCAGAAATGCAGGCCGAGTGCTGTTGAAGTGAATTATCTGCGTCGATCTCTATATTTGTCACATTTGTTTCGGCCGGATCCACTGACACTTTATACCAATGACAGTAACTTTGGGTGTATCTTACACACAACCCTGAACAATAACTCATTCACCCCTGTAATTTCAGAATGAACTATTCCAATGTTTGAATTGGAAGAGTTCAAATGTGTCTTCAGGGGTGAATGATTTAAGTAAAAAACGTCTTGTGATTTCAAATCTTGATCAGCTTGAATTGATGAGTCTTTAACAAAAAAAATCTAAATCTGATTTTTGAGAAATATCTGAAATTTTGTAATTCTTGTTTTTTTGCTTCCTGTCTTGAGATAGTCATTTTAAATGTTTGTAGAATTAGTTTTAAGTGACTTTTTTATATGTTTTTCGATATACATTACTGTATTCACCGTAATTAGCACCCAGGGTGCATGAAAATTAGGCTGATTGGGGTATTTTTAAGATAACAAAACATAGATGGTGTCAGTTGCTTTAAAGGACATGTTCCCAGGTAGAATTGCAAAATTGTTTTCTTTTTTTTTTACTTTAAAAACAGTCAGATTGCGAGACTCAGTATCTGTTAAGAAGTGTATATAATCATATCCATCTGTTGCCCTTACCGTAGGGAAAAAACAATTCTTTGTTTCTCCGAGGTTAATCATGTTTCATTCTGGCCTCGCCGTCATGAAACATAATTAAACCTCGGAGAAACAAAGAATTGTGTTCCTACAGTCAGGGCAATAAAATATTTTATTATACAAAAAAAATACAAAAAATAGTAGAGATGAACAAGTTGACGTGCCTTTGTTGATTCTGTCATTTAGAACTAGGTTGGGGTGGCTCTTGCCAATTTTTCTAGAGAAAAAAAGAAATACGATTGGGACAACTCGAGTGTGTGAGGGCAACATGTTTTTCCGAGGTTAATCATGTTTCATTCTGGCCTCGCCCTCATGAAACATAATTAAACCTCGGAGAAACAAAGAATTGTGTTCCTACAGTCAGGGCAATAAAATATTTTATTATACAAAAAAAATACAAAAAATAGTAGAGATGAACAAGTTGACGTGCCTTTGTTGATTCTGTCATTTAGAACTAGGTTGGGGTGGCTCTTGCCAATTTTTCTAGAGAAAAAAGGAAATACGATTGGGACAACTCGAGTGTGTGAGGGCAACATGTTTTGTTGCCGTTTCATGTGACCAGTATCATCCAATCAGACACATTGTTAAAAAGCTGAGGTATAATAAGATATTTTGTTAACCTCATAGGGCTAGACTGAATAGTGTCTGGGACTGGGCACTGTACCATGCAGCAAGTAGTGCTGAAAAATGGGAAGGGGAGCTAATTATGGTCGGAGAATACAGCACATGGATGTTTGGCTTACATTGCTGCTAACCAGGCTTTCTATTGAAACCTTTTGGAAATGAGATTCTTTTTAAAGTGATACAGCATATATGGTTAATTCAAGATTTCATATCAATGTTATAACCTTCCTGTACATTATAGTCAATAACAAAGAGAACAAGCGTTAGTAGTAACATCATTTTAATAAAACATGCAAATTTATTAATTTCAATTTTCAACAATAACAAATTAATTAATGAAATTTCAACAATCATGCATAAAACTTTCATCAACATAATTTAAAAATGAGTCACAACCATACATGATCACTCAGATGTTTGACTTCAGTATCTGTCGTCAAGAGTCTGGGGGATACAGCTTTACTAAGTGTTCTTGATTGGCTGGATAGCTGGTTACTGGGCAACATCTGTGTTTGTTCACATATTCAAATATACAGGGGTAGCAGAACACATACCTAAAACAGAAAAGAAGATTTTCAACACAGCTCTCAAGTATATACATGTATATAAACTTTATTTATTTTACAACAATTATGAAACAATTTATTTCAAATGATATCAATCACTCTTGTTGGCCCGGATGTTAGCATGCAGGGGTTCTTAATGTAGAAAGAAACAGGAGTACCTGGAGAAAACCTACATGGTCGGGCAGGTGACCCCATATCTTTTCACGTCCGATCGGGGGAATGGAACCCCGGCCACCTTGGTGAAAGGCAATCGCGCTATCCACTGCGCCACCCGACCAGCTCTCAAGTAATTAAAGAAAGAACCCAGACACTAATAAAGTTATAATAACAGCCACCTCTTATGATCATGCAGTGGGATATAAGGGGTCAATTCATTATTTCAGGTCACTGAACCTGTAGTGAAGAACACAGTGACTAACACTGAACCTGCAGTGAAGAACACAGTGACTAAACACAGAGTTTGATAGCTCTCAATTTAATAACCTTTTTTAAAAGGGGAGAAAAGAATCCAGGTTTTCAGACCCAAACAAGTGCAAGGCAGTACATGATCATTTATAAATAATCTACATCAATCAGTTACTGTCCTTCTTCAGCCATGTAACCTGCATAAACTAAACCCTGTATAATTTGGAAACCTGTATAATTAAACAGACTTTTAAATCTGCTGACTATAAATATTGCTGTTTAGATGGAACTTGTGTTTTCCAAAATCTTGTCTATTCTAAAAAGGGTCTGGTATCAATGTGTTTCAATTTGAACAGGTCTCATATGACTTTGTGATGGAAAATTGGTAAGATTATTTTTGAGATGACTTACAGATTTCATTACTCTTTCAATCAAACAATGTAAACAACATAAAAAACATTCCATTATCATTCTTTCTTTTAAGAATCAAATTGTGAAAGAATCACATTTATCTTTATGACTGTGTAAAAACACATGTTCAGTACCAAAGTGATTATTGGGGTGAAGAAAATTTAAATAGCGCATAAATTATGTGCACTTCATTGTCTTCAATCTATCTGCTTTAGAGACAAAATTTTGTTCAACAAACCATTCAAGAGTTGGAGGGGATTTTTATATAAATTTGCCATCCATCAGCTTTTTGTTGAAAACAAGCTCAACGCTGACAAAATATTAAAATCACTGTCATTATGCCATGTAACTGATAAGTATAACATAAAGGCAATGTTCTAACTATTGGGTTAATTTATATGGAGTCAGTTATGTATGGCTTAGAATTAAGGAGTTAGCTCCCTTGGCATGTAACTCTATTGCAATTTACACCTAGACATTACCTAAATAATTTATTTAGACAATATATTGCAAAAACAAAACAAATCAAATTAAATCAAATCCAGCCCTGTTTTTTATCATTACATTCTTCAAACAACATTAATCAATTACAAACTTGAAAAAAATCCTAAAACAAATATGCCTAGTTTTACAGCTGAATATAGGCTGTTTTTCCATGAAGGGAAAATGAGGAGTTTCTTCCCAATTTCAATAAAAAAAAAAATGCTATATTTTCCAAATTTATGTAGGAGCAGGCTGTTTTAAAATTTAGGAAGAAATCACACATTGAATCAAGTAACTTACCCCGACACTGACAGGGCAGTGTCATTGGTCCTTGTCCTCAGACACACTGGACAGACATTATATGGGGGTGTGGTCAGGTCTGTATCACACTAAAATAGTAATATTTACATTAATAGATAACTAAATTTTCACAATATGTTTATTTTCAAGTACAATGTACCAGAAATTAGTGTACATCACAAATTTTAGATATATCACAAATATTTATTTATTTTCAGACATATCAAAAGAAGGTTTATATTTAATTCTATATACATTATTACCAGTTTCATATATTTAAATGATTGCATTAAAGCAAGCCAATGGTTGATAGACCTATCAAAGGTAGATAAATCTACATGTCACTCAAATATGACTTATCATTATAAGTCAATAATAATTGTACATAACCAAAAAATGTAGTAATTATATCATACATGTAAGTCAACTTACAAAAGGAATGGAAACAATTATTTTCACTTATATCATTAAATTCATATACTTCCTGTTTACAGTAAGAAAAAAAAAACAGAAAAAGGAATGCTTGTGATGCACATTTATATATAAATTCACACAAAGTAATTAGAAACATTAAAATTATTATTAAATTAAGAAAAAACATGGCCCCGAACATCTTTTAGGACAAACTCATTGTAGCTAAGACTACACAGATACACAGATTGTATCAAAGACTAACCTTTGGAGCATCTGGGACAGGAAGTGACATCAACATTGGGGCGTTAGAGTCGCTGATGTACCACCAGTCCAGGAACTGTAGGAAGAACACGCCCACAGATAGTCCCGTGGACAAGGAGGTGGCCGTCAAGTTTAGAGCCCGCTCACCAATGTACCCAAGTCGTGCAGATGTGCTTTAACAGAGAGTAATTACTATTGTAAAAAAAAAAAAAAAAAAAAAAAAAGAAAGTGAGGGGAAGCTCACAGAAAATATGTTGAGGAGTTCATGAGATATCTTGTACATGTTTGAACTTTTACCATGACCTTTGAACCTCTAACCTTGACCAATGACAACTAAGATCTGATGAGGTGAAGAACTTGATACTACCTGGAACAATAATATGGTTTAAAATTAACTGAATGTGTTTAGGGGTTCAGGAGATATCTTGTACATGTTCGATATTTTATCATGTCTTTTGAACATTTAACCTTGACCAGTGACCAGCAAAGTGTAACAGAGCCCTTACTATATGACATACCCACTGTAAAACATACAGCAGAAAGTTACAAAGAGTTTCATGTAATGCAAATCTCCAACAAAAAAATCACATCATTCCAGCTAAAGCCAAAACGAATTTGTGTTTTTCTTGTTCTGGCCACATCTGATATCTTTTACCTATCTCACAACTTTTTATGAGTGATTAATATAAGTTGAAATAACTTGTTTCTTCATTTTTGTAAAATAAATAGTTTTTATTTACGTAGAACATTTTATGGCTAATTTTCAAAAAGTGATGGTTAACTTTTTACTGAAGTCACCCAAACATATTTTTTGGAAAACTTAAATAATTAACTTTAACTTTATATTGTTTTGCTTTTTTCAATTAAAGAGCCCCTGCCAAACATAGACATCCTAGTCATGTCCAGTACATTCAGTAAAACAAATCTTTGCATAAACCTGGGTAGTAAGACATATTCTTTAACAATACAATACCTAGCAGTGTTCCAGTCTATAGGTGAGCTAGCTGTGGGAGTGAGGTCGTCCTCCTGTACGTGAGTGAGCTCAACCCCTGCTAGGCGTACAAAGGGTGTGTGCCACCTTCCCCTCCCAAACATGTAAGCTAACTGATACCACAACACAGTGCCCTCCCACGTCATGTGGATGTAGGGGTAGACACCTACAAACGCCTTCGACACACTCGCAACAAGGCTGTGCTGAAAATATATTGAACACAGTGAATTAGATGAACATGACTTTATCAAAATAATGCTGTGTGAATTTAGCTGAATATACATCTACAAATGTCTTTGACAAAGCTGTCAACCCTCCCTCATTTGGAAAGAGACTCCCTCATTTTGACCAAAATTTACCAATCTCCCTCGAAACTCATTCAAGTCCAAACTCACACAAACTCAAAATCTACATCCTGTGGTCAAATAATCTACTAAGTTCTGCAGGGTTTGAGTAAAAACTCTTAACAGGTGTGTATGAATCAAATGAATGCTTTTTGGAGTTATTTTGATACATAAAAAGGGAAAGATAAATTGAGCAAAGCAGTTTCAGTTGTGTTTCAAGCACTTTCTTCATTATTGGGAATGTGGAATGAGGGAGATCTCCCTCATTGGAGGTTTCAGAGGTCGACACTTATGGTTAGACATACTTCCAGCAACGCTGTGCTGAAAGTATAAATAACATCTAGGTAGTGGACCATATGTACACCACTTGTACAACTGTTGTGTGAAATTTCGGGGTATGCAAAAAACAAAATGCTGTTACCAGACAGCCACACTGTATTGAAATCAACATTATACATTTGTACTTCATATCTACATTTGCATAATTTTATCTTTGGGATACTCATCATGGATTAACACAAAAGGTGCAAGAAGGGTGTAGAACATAGATGTGGCATTTTTGAATACCGTAGTGTTGAAGTACAAATGTATAACTTTGATTTCAGTACAGTGTGGCTGAGAGTCTGTTAACGGCATTGTTTTATGCATACCCCGAAATTCCATACACAATGGGGTCCCCTTATATATATATAACTAATGCAGGCTTAATCTGTATATGTATAATCTGTATAAGTTTTTTTGACATATTTCATATTTATGCTAAGAGAACTGATTCAGTGCTAGGTAATATTCAGAATCACACAAACAACCATACCTGGGGGTTGCTGCCAATGTTAAATTTATGCCTCATCTCTTCAAACTTTTCATCCAGCTTATGTTTGATGTAAGGTATCAAAGCCTGAAAAAAAATCAGAATCATACAAATGCAATAAAATTACATTAGGTACCAGTAGCCGTTCATTATAAAACAATTCAGCAAAGTTATTCAACTTACCTGTAAGCCTATTTAATATTTACACAAACGTTGTCTTCTTTTTTCTATTATTATTTTTGGTCTGAATGACTGAGGATGATCCTATTTAAACACAAACATGTGTATATGTGTATTTTATTTCTATAAAAGAAAAAATGCATTTCATTGTGTTTGATCTTGTCCGCTCTCTGCACCCCTGGAAAATGTCATAGCAAAATTGAAGGCACAAAGATAGCTGTTAGATTGGTCTCGGGTGTCAAAAACTGACCAATTGCTAGGCTGATACCTGTCCTTTGGAGATTACAAAGGAGCGACATTCGACTTCAAAGTCAATCATTTTTTACCATTAATAGACAGCGAGAATCTTTTGATGTACATCAAAGGATCAAACTAGTCTCCTTGTCTCATAAACAAGGTCGCACACACTGAGCCTTCAATTTTGCTAATAATGACATATTCCTGGGGTGCAGAGCACGTAAGTGAGTGTAACCCTAGGAGTATTCTGTGAGTTGATGCTGTTTGACGGCCCTTCACAGTATTCCAGTAAATGTAAAAATGTATCGAGGATGGATCTTGAATGAATGATCCTAATACCTACCAGGCAGATAAGAGATTTCAACAGGATCTCTGGAGGAAGTTTATCACCACTACTAGATCCTGATAAAGGCACTCGTTTGATCCCATAGAAATTCTCAGCAAAGGAGGAACCTGTATAAAAAGAATTTAATTAATAAAATGGTGAAAATGTGTTACCTGGTATGATACAACAGTCTACCCGAGGGTGGTCAGTTAGCTCAATACATAGTGCTCTCACCCTTCACTATATAAACACTACCAAAAGAAATCACATTTATAGAATAATTGTAGTGGAAATGGACTGGATTTCAATCTTCGGCAACCAGAAAGCTCAATTGGTAGAGCGTCCATCTCGAGTTCGGAGGATCCCGGGTTCAAACCCAAGTCAGGCCGTGCATTTTTCCACTGCTGTTATAAGTTTGGTGCCCAACAAAATATACCCACAGAAGGCTGTATAGGGTCTTGTGTGTCTTTGAGATCAATGACTTTGTTTAAGGAGGGAGGAATGTAGCAAAACTGGACTGGGTCGATCATCGGCAACAAGATAGCTCAATTGACAAAGCATCCTTCTAGAGTTTGGAGGGTCCTGTTACAGGATAATGAATGCAATGGGATCATTGCCATTTTGACACTTCTCCAGTCTTGCATGATACAAGGCCATTTAAGAATTATATCTATCTATCTATCTATCTATATGTTATACTCCGCAGAATCCAAAATGGCTTTAATGCAGAGATGGCAAAGCAAATATATAGGTGATGTCAGACAATCCAAAGAATACTGTTTGTACTTATAATTACATAATAGAAACTTCAATACTGCTCTCTGCACCCCTGGAATATGTCATAGCAAAATTGAAGGTATGCAGCTAGATATTTAATTGGTTTCAGGTAAAAAAAAAAGCCTGACCAATCGCTTGGCCGATACCTGTCCTTTGAAGATTACAGAGGATCAAAACCTGACTACAAAGCCAGTTATTTTTACAAGTTATTTTTTATGCAATCGCGATATTCTTTTGATGTGTATACATAAAAGGTTAGAACTAGTCTCATCCACAAGGTGACACACACGGAGCCTTTAATTTCGCTATGACATATTCCAGGGGTACAGAGAGCGAAAGTGAGCGTTACCCCTGGAGTATCGAGGATGTTCTGTTCAATGCTTATGAGACATGTGTCATACCTGATTATAGTAGTCAACTGTGAGCATCATATTGAACTTTCTCAAACTGACAGCTTGATAGACAATTGTTGACTCTCATTTTGGCCTTGAGCAACATTTTGGCTGTCAATTTCAACCAAACATTTGTTCTCAAATCCAGTCAAGATAAATACAGTGTGAAAAACAAGTCCAATTGTGGTTCAATTTTAAGGTATTGTGAGCATGGAAAACTACGGCATTGTTATAATGGGTGGTCGGGTGGTGCAGCGGATAACGCACTTGTCTTTCACTTAGGTGGCTGGGGTTCCATGCCACTACCGGACCTGAAAAGGTATAGGATCACCTACCTGACCACGCAGGTTTTCTCTGGGTACTCCAGTTTCATCCCACATTAAAACCCTCTGTGCTAACAACTGGTCCAACAAGAGTGATTAATTTAAGTTATATAACTTGTTTCATAATCGTTGTAAAATAAGTTTGTAGTTTAAGATATTTTAAGAAGACTTACAGTGGTTACGAAGGTAGAAATTCTGAAGCACCAAGTCAAGTGTTGTGTAGATTTCATCATACCATCTTATCATCCAGCCAAACTTATCAGGTCTGCTTTCTGCTAATACCTGTAACACGTTATTTGTAATTCATGATAAGAATATATATAAAAAAACCATCAAAGTTATTTCGTTGCAATTCCAACCCAGACGATGCACGAAACACAATGCACAGAGACACAATCTTAATAGGACACCCGAGTGATTCAGGCGGCCTAAAACTGTGAAGTTCAGATATAATGTTGCCTGGTGCCTGAGTTTGTTTTGAAATAACAACACAGTAACCAAAAAGGATTATTATGAGCTAGGTAATGCACTGGTGATTAGTTGTCGCTCCTCTCAAAATTACACAAACTATTGATTAAAATGTAACCTGGGGAACATTCGCATATCCGGTTGAAACGGTTGAACCTATAAAGAAAATGACAGGTACAGATAGGTACAGATCTGGACCGAGGCTGACCTCAAGAAAATTTGGCACGTGTAGATTGAGGGGTCCAGACGTACCTGGCCGAAACTAAAATGCTGACTATTGCCAGTTTGCGTTATTTCTTTCTAAAACAATGTCAAGCCACATGTAGTTTTTAAGATACGTTATGTTATTCAGTAGACGCGTGAAAGAAGGGCATAATATTCTCGATACATTGTTTTTATTTTCCGAAACTGTGCATTTTTAGCTCTGCTTATAGAACGGTCCAAGTGCGTTCGTTTATCGTGGAATATTTCTGCGCCACCCTTTCAACCGGGATACGCGAATGTAGCCCTGCAAAATGGTTAAAGTGAAAGTGAATATATACATCCGAGTTATCTCCCCTACATTACCAATTGTGGACATGTTATAATTTTTTGAACGTAATTGATTAATAACTGCACATATGAAGACTCATAAATGCAACTTATTATTAAAGGTATACACAACAACATATCTAAAAGCATGATAAAGCAGTTCTGTAATGTTTGTTAAAAACTGTTGCACATGAGGAAAATCGCAACATAAGATAGTGCGAGAAAAAAACACCTTCACGGCGTGTTTCAAGGCTGGTCGAATAGTTGTCATCAAACTCTCTTGCGCTAAGACTTCAAAAATTGATGGTTTGGTCGTGAAAGAAGCCGAAGTGATGTGTGCTGCCCTTTCTGCCATGGTTGATAAATGTACAGAACAGCTAACATTTGTTGGACGTAGCAGTCTTCTGCTTCCGGTTTGTTACAAAGGTGAAGGTTATATGTCGGTTAGTGACGACGGAAGTGTTTAGGGTAAGCCAGCAATCCGCTTTATATCTGCAGCATCGGTTGTTTAAAAGACATTTATATGACATATGAATAACAACAACTATATCATGTATGCTTAATGTACGTAATTTCATATTTGTAAAGCATTTTGTTTGCTAAAATCCAAATTTCTCAATTTACACCGGCTACTTCCGGTTTGTAATGAAACGTCAAATCCTGATAGTAAACTGAATATTTGTATTCATAATAGGTATTTCATATACAATTGTTCTTATTTCATCACTTAAGTAGTTGGTTGATATAAACATTGTCTGTTTTTGTCGAAAGGAATTTGTATCTTCATTTCTTTTAATAAATATAAATATATTGATTAGTAACAACAATGACACGCCCCCTTCGACTGTATCGTCAGTTCTTTCTATAAATCTAAATATATATTGTTTCGTAACGAAAATGTCATGCCCCTTTCGATCCTGGGTCTATTGTTAACTACCTGTTGTATTATAGATTTGTAAGAGTACACATATACTCTATTTTGACTTTTGTAAACGACTTGCCATCCATATTTAGTTTTCAGTATTTGAAATCTTGATTCTGCTATTTACAGTTAAGTTATAGTTTGACCTCAATATGTTCACACAGAAGCCATTAGGCACTATACATATGGAAGGATACTATTTTTGACATGAACTTTGGAAGTTTGTATCTTTTAGACACTTTTAAAAACACTTTTACAATACTGAACAGTATAACAGGGGTGTATAATTCCGCTAGCTCAATGTCAAGGGCTAGTAGATTTTAGAGCAAGTTTCCTCTGGCCCTGACATCAGACTTCCATATTTTGACAGATTGATGTCTGGTGTCAAGCTTAATCAACGAAAAATAGGCAGTCTGGAATTCTTCTAAATAAGAATATTCTATTCCGGTTTTGATCCGCATCAGTACAGTTTGTTGATTAGTCATCACCCCACCCCCACCCTCATTAATTTGTATTGCCTTCAAAATGGTGTCGCTCCAGTGGGATATTTTGAAGGATTCAAAACTGAGGACTCTCCTGACGGAATGTATAGCAGCTCTTTGTGATAATAAGGGTAGTTTTGGATCAATAAATAATCCATTTATCGATATATGTTGGGTATTTGTTATGTCATAGTAGACTTTTGTTGTCAGCACCTAAAAACTTAGTGCCACGAAACAGTGTCGGAGAATTCCATGTTTTCTTTTAGAAGGGTGCTCTGGCCCCAAGCTAGCTTAGATAATGTAGCTTCTGAGGCTTGGTATTAATATTAATACTTGTATAACCACATACCAGACATCTACAGATGTACCTGTTTAAAGTCTGGATTCAGGGCCAGAGGAAACTCATGCTAGTAGATCTTCTGTTAGGGCTGGTGAAAATATAACTAACATTTGCTATCAAGATCTTGGTTAGACTAGAAGAATTTTCAAAATCTGCCAATGGGATGGAACTCTTCATACAAAATTATGTATTACTGTGGCTTACATATACGCAAACATGTTCCATGAAAGCATTTGTATTTGTTTGATTTCAGAATTTTCTTCATCAGAGGGCTAGCAACTGATTCAAGATGACAGATTCAAAGTATTTTACAACCACCAAAAAAGGTAAGAATTCATAGTGTTTCTGTCTAAAATTCTCTTTATTAAATTAATTTTAACTCACCCAAATTTGGCCCAAAAAAACCTACATGCTTTCCAGAGTAGAGTTCAAGGAATAGGTTCATGTACACCAAGTAAAACAGATCTCACTATATGTAAGACTGTCGTTAAATATTTACCTGTGAATTTCAGGTGAGATATTTGAGCTGAAGGCAGAGCTCCAAAGTGATAAGAAGGACAAGAAGAAGGAGGCAGTGAAGAAGGTCATCGCCAGTATGACAGTAGGCAAGGATGTCAGGTAAGAAATACTTTTCTCTCACCCTTCAAACGTGTGTCTCCCTTTTAAGTCGGAAAAGATCAGGTTGTCACCCCCAAGTGGGAGAAAAACAATCATCCCCTACCTTGAGGGTGTGACAGAGAAATCTCCAACCCCCGGGATGATATTCTCAAATGTCTTACCCTTGGTTTAGACAATCAAGAATATCACCCCTCGGATTGGAGACTGAATTTAAAGGTCCAAATCAGGAATCTCTCTCCTAAATAAGGAAGGTCAGCAAGTACAATTATATGTAAGAAAGACAGAGGCAGTGTTGTAAAAATGCTTTTCTAAAACTGTGGATTTTCCTTCTGATAGCCATTTTTCTCAGTTAAGTAAATCCTATCGGTAATTGTTGTAATTGAATATAAATCTTTCAAGCTATTTACCAACTAAATATGTGAGGCAATACATTTTCATAACATCAAAAATAGTTTTTGTTTTACATTTGCAGTGCCCTGTTTCCAGATGTTATCAATTGCATCCAGACAGACAACTTGGAGCTGAAGAAACTTGTGTATTTATACCTGATGAACTATGCCAAGAGTCAACCAGACATGGCCATCATGGCCGTCAACACATTTGTCAGGGTGAGATCATAATCTCTGGTTCCTGTTTGGATTAGTTTCAGAGTGATGACATACTCACATATTCCTACATTTTTGTGTTGGATGTCATCATCTTGTCTCGTTTCTAAACTTCTATTTGACACATTTCTTTGTCTGCACTGTCGTTATTACTTCTTTGCCCATATAAGATATAATTATATATAATTTAAATAGATGCTTTTCATAGCAGGAAAATTTTTGTATTTCAAAGCAGTTTGAATGTAAAGCAAATCCATTTCTCATGCTTCCAAAAGACAATTCTTAATGGAAATTCTGAAAAATGTATCGAAGAAAAGAAAAACGTTTAATATCAGGGTTTTATATTGATATAGAAAATCTATATACTGTACTACAATAGACATTTTATGTATTTTGAGGAAGTAATACAATTTATTGTTCTTCAAAATTACACAGGACTGTGAGGATCCTAATCCACTTATTCGAGCGCTGGCCGTGAGGACCATGGGGTGTATCCGTGTCGACAAGATCATTGACTATCTATGTCAGCCCCTGAGGAACTGTCTGAAGGACGAGGACCCATATGTGAGGAAGACAGCTGCCGTATGTGTGGCGAAGCTCCACGACATCAACGCTCAGCTGGTCGAGGATCAGGGCTTCCTCGATCTTCTGAAGGACATGCTGTCGGACTCTAACCCTATGGCAAGTAACACAATTACACTATAACGTCAAAATTTAGCCCCATTCCCAATGGGAAATAGTGCATTTTTTCCCCCCAAATCCCTTTTTAAATTTCCCACTTTTAAAAAATAATCTTGATTAACTGTCACAGGCCCACATGGTTATCATAAATGTGGAACCTAAACATTTTATGATAATGCATCTTCTTCACCTCAACATTAAAACATTAAAGTCCTTTAGTTTCATAGATCAAAAACAACTTCATTGATCAGAATAATTAAGGAGAAAAAGAATATTTATTTTCATATTAAAAAAGACCGAAAGAAGTTGAAATGAATTGTGTTTTATATAAAATTATTGGATATTTGAAAACAATTCCAGGTTGTGGCCAATGCTGTTGCGGCCATTACTGAGATTCTGGAGTCATCACCAACCGCTCAGCAGGTGCTCGTGATGAACGGCAACACCATTAACAAGCTCCTGACCGCTCTCAACGAGTGTACAGAGTAAGTAATTCAGTGACCTGGGGTCAACAAGCTCCTGACCACTCTCAATGAGTGTACAGAGTAAGTAAATATGTGACCTGGGGTCAACTAGCTTCTGACTGCTCTCAACGAGTGTAAAGAGTAAGTAAATCAGTGACCTTGGGTCAACTAGCTTCTGACCACTCAACAAGTGTACAGAATAAGTAAATCTGACAGTGACCGGTGGTCAACTAGCTTCTGACCTCTCTCAACAAGTGTACAGAGTAAGTAAATCAGTAACCTGGGGTCAACTACTGAACTAGCTTCTGACCGCTCTCAACAAGTGTACAGAGTAAGTAAATCGTGACCTTGGGTCAACAAGCTTCTGACCACTCAACAAGTGTACAGAGTAAGTAAGTCTGACAGTGACCTGTGGTCAACTAGCTTCTGACCACTCAACGAGTGTACAGAGTAAGTAAAACAGTGACCTTGGGTCAACTAGCTTCTGACCACTCTCAACAAGTGTAAAGAGTAAGTAAATCAGTGACCTTGGGTCAACTAGCTTCTGACCACTCAACAAGTGTACAGAGTAAGTAAATCTGACAGTGACCTGTGGTCAACTAGCTTCTGACCACTCAACGAGGGTACAGAGTAAGTAAATCAGTGACCTTGGGTCAACTAGCTTCTGACCAATCTCAACAAGTGTACAGAGTAAGTAAATCAGTGACCTGGGGTCAACTAGCTTCTGACCACTCAACAAGTGTACAGAGTAAGTAAATCAGTGACCTGTGGTCAACTAGCTTCTGACCACTCAACGAGTGTACAGAGTAAGTAAATCAGTGACCTTGGGTCAACTAGCTTCTGACCAATCTCACCAAGTGTACAGAGTAAGTAAATCAGTGACCTTGGGTCAACTTGCTACTGACCAATCTCAATAAGTGTACAGAGTAAGTAAATCAGTGACCTGTGGTCAACTAGCTTCTGACCACTCAACGAGTGTACAGAGTAAGTAAATCAGTGACCTGGGGTCAACTACTGAACTAGCTTCTGACCACTCTCAACGAGTGTACAGAGTAAGTAAAAAGTGTCCTGGGGTCAACTACTGAACTAGCCTCTGACCACTCAACGAGTGTACAGAGTAAGTAAATCAGTGACCTTGGGTCAACTAGCTTCTGACCACTCTCAACAAGTGTACAGAGTAAGTAAATCAGTAACCTTGGGTCAATCAGCCTCTGACCGCTCTCAACGAGTGTACAGAATAAGTAAATCAGTGACCTGGGGTCAACTAGCTTCTGACCACTCAACGAGTGTACAGAGTAAGTAAATCAGTGTCCTGGGGTCAACTACTGAACTAGCTTCTGACCACTCTCAACGAGTGTACAGAGTAAGTAAATCAGTGACCTTGGGTCAACTAACTTCTGACCACTCTCAACAAGTGTACAGAGTAAGTAAATTAGTAACCTTGGGTCAATCAGCCTCTGACCGCTCTCAACGAGTGTACAGAATAAGTAAATCAGTGACCTTGGGTCAACTAGCTTCTGACCACTCTCAACGAGTGTACAGAGTAAGTAAATCAGTAACCTTGGGTCAATCAGCCTCTGACCGCTCTCAACGAGTGTACAGAGTATATAAATCAGTGACTTGGGGTCAACCAGCTTCTGACCACTCTTAGTGAGTGTACATAGTAAGTAAAACAGTGACCTGGGGTCAACTAGCTTAATTCTGACCGCTCTCAATGAATGAACTTATGAAGAAAATAAGTGACCTCATATCAGCTAGCTTTTGAGAGCTCCCAATGAGTGTATTAAATTGAATTTATGTCTTGAATACCAAGTGGTTATTATAAACATGACCAAAACAAACAATTAATTGGTTATGTTTAGATAATTCACTGCTTTCCTGGTAAATTTTACAGGTGGGGCCAGGTATTTATCCTGGATGCCATCTCAAACTACACACCTAAGGATGACAAGGAGGCCCAGAGCATCTCTGAGAGAGTGACACCTCGTCTGGCCCACGCCAACGCCGCAGTCGTTCTGTCAGCTGTCAAGGTGAGAGTCTATTGATGCACATACTGTCATCACATAGTTTAGCAATAATATTAGCATTTTAACGCTTTTGCACTTATGCAGGTATCCGATTATGTTCATGTTGCAACACTGGGTCCCCACTTGTCATCCTCAATACTCTCAATTTAGCTCTCTGCACCTCTGGAATCATCCTCAATACTCCAGGGGTTACTCTCACTTTCGCTCTCTGGACCCCTGGAACATGTCATAGCTAAATTGAAGGCAGGTGGCTAGTTATTTGATTGGTCTCAGGTAAAAAAACAACTGACTGATCGCAAGGATGATACCTGTCCTTTGAAGATTACAGAGGAGCAACACTCGATTCGAGGATGATTCCAGGGGTGCAGAGAGTGAATGAGAGTAAGCCCTGGGGTATCGAGGGTGCCTGTTTGTTTACATTTATTCATATATTCTAAAAGCTAGTTGTGTGGCCCTCTTCAGATCAATTTTATAAAATATATCATCTAAAAGATTAAAACATTCTTATCTATCAAATACTATTTCCTTTTAGATCTCAGATGTTGCATCGGCTCCTTTTTTTTGAACGTCAGAATTTTTGAAGAGATTCTGGTGAAAAATAGCACTATTTTCCATCTGAAATGGAGTGAAAATGTCCCAGAATGACTCCAGAAAAAAACCTCTAGATATAAAAATAATATGTGAAAGACAAACTGATAACTTCTTATCAATGAAAAGATGAATATGTGCCCAGAATCTTACATAAATACCACTTCGAAATGACAGCCGCCTCAGTCGACCAATTCTCTTCTTTTAGAAATTACCATTATTTAAACTACTCCTAAATTGTGTACTATTTCATCATGACAGGTTGTGATGAAGTTCATGGAAATGCTGGAACCTAACGGTGAATATGTGTCCATGCTGGTTAAGAAACTAGCCCCACCCCTCGTCACCCTCCTGTCCGCGGAGCCCGAGATCCAGTACGTCGCTCTCCGTAACATCAACCTCATCGTCCAGAAGAGGTAGGCCACATCTGTTAAAATGATTCTCTCTCTATCATAGTAAAAAGTATACTGATCAAGATTTTAGAAAATCCTTTCACTATAAGTATTGTCCTGTATACTAGACAAGATTTTACAGACAACCTTCCCGCTAGTTTAGTATACTGGACGAAATTTAAGTGTTTTTATGCAAATGAATAGGAGGAAAGCTAATCAAATACGAACTAATTGTCACTCGTTTTAGGAAAGCTTATCAAATACGAACTAATTGTCACTCGTTTTTGGACTCCATGTTACAGACCAGATATTCTGAAGAATGAGATGAAGGTATTCTTTGTCAAGTACAACGACCCCATCTATGTTAAACTGGAGAAACTGGACATCATGATCCGTTTGGCCACACAGGCTAACATAGCCCAGGTCCTGGCAGAACTCAAGGAGTAAGTCTGTAAAACCGCCAAGTTTATTCTATTAATGAAATTTATTTTAAACTAATAGGATAAGTTTATTAACATGCGAGATTTGGATAGTGGCTGACAGCCAGATCAGAATTCAATCCAAATTAGAAAAAGAAATGTAATGAAAACTATGAAAATATATAGCATATTCATGAAATATTGAAACCATTGGTGGCTTTTATTACCCCACTGATAAAATAGCAGAGGACTTTTAGGTTGCCTCATCCTTTCCAAAACAAAAAGAAAAACATTGCTACAATAGAGCTGCTATATATTAAACGATACATTCATCAATGAAGCAAATCTTATCTTCATATTTTATAAAACCCTGTAGATTTTTGGCATTTTCCCAAAGTTGTTCTCCCACCACTCTGATTCTCCAGAGCCAGATGAACCAGCCCCATTTCCAAAACAACCCTTGACTTATAATTTTCCTAGGGACTTTTTAAACTGGAGAATAAAAAGTGAAATTACATTCAATGTGTTATGAAAATAAATTTTAAACATTAATTTCCTACAGGTATGCTACAGAGGTAGACGTGGATTTTGTGCGTAAATCTGTGCGTGCCATCGGACGTTGTGCCATTAAGGTTGAACAGGCAGCCGAGAGGTGTGTGAGCACGCTCCTTGACCTCATCCAGACCAAGGTCAACTATGTCGTACAGGAGGCCATAGTTGTCATCAAGGTATCACACATTTGTTTTGATAAAATAATCTGCTTAAAAAAATTTTGATTGATATATCTTCAGATCTCTATGCATTAGAATACAATGTACCAACATAACCTGGTTAATTGCTCCTTAATAAGGTTTTAACCATATTTTTATTTTTTTTTGCAGGATATTTTCCGAAAGTACCCCAACAAGTACGAGAGCATCATTGCCACTCTTTGTGAAAACCTAGATACATTGGACGAACCAGAGGCCAGGTAAGATTCTATCCTGAAGTGTCATCGGAACAACGGTAACATTACTTTGAGACAGAGGCCTCTAAATACTAAGCTTTTTTCCCCTTTTCTTTTTCAATATTTCATTACTTTGTGATGGGGAAAGTATTTGAAGCAAAACAAAAATGCCTCCACTGGCATTTGTTTAAAAGACTGTTTTAGAAGTGTTCAAGACAAAATCATAAAAGTTGAAATTGAAGCCCTGAATTAGATCGTAAAAAAGTTTTATTATGACTGAATAATATTGTGTACAACTTAATATATTATTTAAATTCAAAGAATTATTTAAGTGGTTCAATCTATGTATGTCAATTTTTCAAAAGACACTTAAGTAGTGAAATGACTGGAGTAAAGACACAGTAATGTAAGGTTCCCCTTTGTATTGTATTGTCAGGGCGTCGATGATCTGGATCATCGGGGAGTATGCTGAGAGAATAGACAATGCTGACGAGCTGCTCGAAAGCTTCTTGGAGGGATTCCAGGACGAGAACACACAGGTATGGTTCTGTCAGCAATATTCACAGATTTCAATTCAAAAAGATCGTGAAAGCAAATGTTTGTAAGAATGTTGATCCTAAAGCCTTTTAGGTGGCAGAGTACAGTAGAAATGGCTTGACCCTAAAAATAAAGGGCATGTCTCGGATAAACATGGATAGCGGATTCATCCTGCACAACACACCTACATATATATATATGTTTATAAACTACATTTTGAAAAGGTGTTTTTTAGAAGAACATTTTTTTTTTCAAAAAGTGATTTCCCCAGATTTGGGACTTCTGAAAACCATGGTTACCACATCAAAAAACACCAAAATATGCAAAAAATCATGATTTTTAACCCAGAATTTGACCCCCGCAAGTAGAATTGTTTTTCTTAAAACCTGTCTGAAATTAAATATCGCCTACTCGGTAACAGAAATACTCACGTTTTAGCATAGGTCATTCCGGTGGATTTTTCACAATATTTACACATGTGCTGAGTACAAAAATAGACTACATGAAAAGCTAGCTTTTGTTGTGTAGACACAGATTTGTAAATGCCCAAAATTGTAGTCTCAAACCAAATTCGAATTCTTTTTTTGAAAAATTATGAAGCCCACATAGTCCACTTCATCATGAATATGCCAATTTTAGTGCTGATTTTTTTTTTAAATTTTGATACATGTTATATTACAGGGGTTATTCATTGTATAAAAGTATCACCCATGGCCACCGTACGCTACTGTACTCTGCTACCTTATCATGGCAAAACTCTGACATATGCTGTGGGAAACTAGGGTTGAAAATCAGTTGAAATTTTATGGTCACTCTTCAAATTCAAATGTTGGAATAGTTCATTATGAAATTTCAGGGGTGAATGTGTTAATAATAATTTTATTCAAGAAATGCATTGTGAAATCCTCCATGTTGTTGTATGTTACAATGCAAAATGTAACAATGCAAAGACCATTTGTTGGCCCTAATGACCTATCCAGTGTTGATGGGCCGTTTTTATACGCCCGTCAAATTTGACGGTAGTATTATGGTATGGCGGCGTCCATCCGTCCGGCGTAAACTTCTGTTTGTCCGGCAATCTCCTCCTACATTTGACCGATCTCTTTGAAACTTGGTATACGTTATAATCATGATATGAAGTTGTGTCTACCTTAAAAGAATTTTGATTTAACAATTTTTGCAAAAGTGATTGCCCTTTGTTCATTTCAGTATTTGATTTTTTTGTCCGGAGATTTTCTCCTACATTTTTTATAGCATGTTTGCTAACCACTCTTTCAGTATTTAAGATCTTATTTCAATGTAAGAAAGTATATAAGAAAGTATATAACACTATATGGCATTCAACGGGCGTATATTGTTCTGCCCCGCAGTACTCTTATTATAATAAAGTTACAATGCAAGAAATACCTCCCTTCAAACACTGAACCTCTACTTTATAGTCCTGTGGAGGCTAATGAAAGTAAAAGTAAGTCAGTGATGATCACAAGATAGCAGTGCTGCTAGAAATAAATATCAGGAAAATTCTCATGCTTAACTCTTTTTAGTATCTAGCAAGGAGATCGGCTCGATATAATGAATCGCTCTACTGAAAACTCCATAATATCAACACGCAATTATAACAACTAAGATCAATTACGATTTTGTTGTTGATTAATCAGTTTATTGGCTTCACTGACCAATAGTCGATTGAGTTGATTATTAAGAACACCAAAATGGGAAACTACGTCAGAATCGGCAAACTTTTGAAACCATGTTAAATTGTTGAAATATATTCATATGCAATATTCTTGATCCGACAATGCTGCCTATCATTCAGTTATATATGGAGGACGATACAGAAGACTTACTGTGTTAACAATTCTGAGGCTGCTTGAATTTAAATTGAAAATGTTGCGTTTGTAACAGGAATATAGGATTCATAGCTCAAGATTTGCTGAGGAAATTTCGCAAACATATATTGTAATAATTAATTAATCAAGAATTAATATGCTGGGCTACATTTGTGTTTGTGTTGAAAAATTCAAAAATATACAGTGTACTGTGTTAGTTTTCAATTTTGAACAATTGTTACTTTTATTATCATACATTGTACATGTTTAGAGATTTCTGTCATTTTAAAATTTACAGAATTGTCTTACTGTCATCAAGCCAGTTAAAAAAATATCTTCATTACCCTGTTATATCTACATCCACAGGTACAGCTGCAGCTGCTGACAGCCATCGTGAAGTTGTTCCTGAAACGCCCTACTGACACCCAGGAGCTGGTACAACAGGTTCTAAGCCTGGCCACACAGGTATGTACAAGTATGTTCGTACAGGTATCACACAGTGGTACAACAGGTTCTAAGTCTAGCCACACAGGTATGTACAAGTATGTTCGTACAGGTATCACACAGTGGTACAACAGGTTCTAAGTCTAGCCACACAGGTATGTACAAGTATGTTCGTACAGGTATCACACAGTGGTACAACAGGTTCTAAGTCTAGCCACACAGGTATGTACAAGTATGTTCGTACAGGTATCACACAGTGGTACAACAGGTTCTAAGTCTAGCCACACAGGTATGTACAAGTATGTTCGTACAGGTATCACACAGTGGTACAACAGGTTCTAAGTCTAGCCACACAGGTATGTACAAGTATGTTCGTACAGGTATCACACAGTGGTGAAGCGTTGATATTGTATTCCTAAACAATACGCCCTCTGTTCACTTACCAGTAAATACAAAAAGAGATCAAACGTCCCCTAGTGGATGATCAGTGAAGTTCTGCGTACCCCAGTTGATTGATTCTACAGAACAACATACAATTTTCAAAAGATATCTAACGTAAAAAAGTGGTGCCATGCCTAGCTGTAACTAGTGATGTCTACAATAGAAAAATAGAACAATGACGTCATAGTATAGTTGCAATGTCTGTGAAAAGATTGTACAAGTTTTTGTGGTATTTTCATAATAAGCCAAGAATACAAAGGGCAAAGTAGATAGAAAGGTCCAAGGTTGACTTCTGTGTGTTTTGTTTGGAACCTACATGACAGAAATCATGGCTTTGCAGTCTTTGGAGAAACCAATATTATTATGTTCCACAGTGATTTAAGAGTATATTATTTGAGATCCTGATAGGTTTCATGTTTATTGCGTGTTTGACAGGACAGTGACAACCCTGACCTCCGAGACCGAGGATACATCTACTGGCGACTGTTGTCCACGGACCCAGCAGCCGCAAAGGACGTTGTCCTGGCCGAGAAGCCACTCATCTCGGAGGAGACGGACCTGATCGAGCCGACACTTTTAGATGAACTCATCTGCCACATCTCCAGTCTGGCATCAGTCTACCACAAGCCACCCAACTCCTTTGTGGAAGGATCTAAGTCGTCCTTCAAGAGGGCGCTTCCTCCCAGGTCGCAGTCGTAAGTACCAGTCGTAGTTTTCCCTGATTACAGTTTTATATCATTGCAAGGCCATAGCTAGAAAGTTCCACCTAACTTGTAATCTACAATAACTGCTACAGGTCAAGAAATACTGGCTAAAACTCTTTAAGATTTTATTGGACCACTAGCCTGCAGCTTAAAGTCTTTGTACATTCTATAAAATGCATTCAAAATTGGTTGTTATAAATATATTGATAAAAGTGTTTTGCTTGTTACTGGAAATTAGATATCTCAAATAAATCAGAAATTTTGAATCACCCTATCAAAGCTAGTATTGATGTTTCCTGGTCATTTATTTCTATGATATTTAACTGTATGCTATTTCTTGTTAATCTATATTGTTTGAAGACTCCTCACCATGAAATTACGAGGTTCATGTGAAAATGTATTGAGTACTTAGTAACCATTTGAAGTGGTCTTTAAAATAAAAATGTTTCTATTTCAAACAGATAAAAAAATATTTTCCTATCTTCCAGAGGCAACCTTGGCGACACAGAGGAGATGGGAGCCCCAGACACCTCATCCCCCGGGGGAGACATGCCATCAGCCCAACCCCCACCGCAGGCAACTGTCATTCCTGGTGTGGACTCCCTCATTGGGGACCTCCTGGACATGGACCTGGGGGGACCATCCATGCAACAGCAACAGATGTACTCCAACCCTGCCTCCCAGACCCCCGTACAGACCGCCGGGGCCATGGATCTCCTGGGGGAGGGACTAGACTCCCTGGTAGGTATAATTAAAAAAAAAAAATATTGCACTCTGACCCTATATCAGGAGTGAGGTCTGAACAAGAGTTCATTTAGGAGGGGCTAGTCTGATACTCCATGGTACTTACATCACATGAGACTAGGGTTAATAAAGTCCAGGAGAGGGGCAAGACTCTCGCATACATATAACATGGCAAACTCGATACTCCATGGGTTGCGCTCACTTTCGCTTTCTGCACCCCAGGAATATGTCCTGACAAAATCGAAGGCTAGGTGTGCGCCATCTTTGTGGCTGAGACAAGAAGACTAGTTTGGTCCTTTGATGTACACCAAAAGATTATTGCAGTCGCGTAACAGTAAAATTGGCTGACTTTGAAGTCAGGTGTGCTCCTCTGCAATCTTCAAAGGAACAGTATCTGTCTAACCATTAGTCAGTTTTTTATCCCCTGCTTTCACCGAAACGGGGGATATTAATTTGGGTTTGTCCGTCTGCCAGTCTGTCTGTCTGTCACGCTTTGTTTCCGTGCAATAACTGCAACAAATGTTAACCGATTTTCTTCAAACTTACTTACAGGGTTAAATGCCTTAAGGGCTTTGTTAAGGGATGACCACTTTCAGCGGATTTTATTTGGCTGAGTTATGGCCCCTTGAATAATGAAAAACGTCATTTCTGCAGTTTCCACATGTTCAATAAAAAGTCTAACTTCTGTTCTATTCGAATTTTAAGCTATACATTATGTCTCAACAGCACAATACTCACATGTTTAAACCTGACCTCAAGAATGTTTACCTACAATATGTCCTGCGAGCGGGGGATATAAATTCCACGAATTTGCTTGTTTTAACCAAGACCAATCAAATAGCTAGCCGCCAGCCTTCGATTATGCTATGACATATTCCAGGGGTAAAGAGAGCATATATGAGTGTAACCTCTAGGGTATCGAGGATGATAACATGGGAGACTCGGCCATTGATGTCCTGAGAGAGGGACTAAGATTCCTGGTACATACTGTATGTCAGGCATTTGTTTGCGTGTATCTCATTTTTGATTTATTCACAAGTTATTAAATTCAGACAGGAACTTTTGATCATATTCTGAAAAATACATTGCATTTACATGAAAGCATAATAATAAATGCAAGTTGATTTTGAACAAATTTACACATTTTCATCACACATAAATATAGTATAACGTTGTAATGTAAAAGGTTACAAGTAAATTCTAGAACAATTTCAACAATGTGTATTTCCAAGTTTTACACACATTATGTAAAAGCTATTGATAAATTAGTATGTTTTATTATTGCTGATATGTTAATTTTGTTCCGGTAGCTTGGCGGGCCTGCGACCGGAGGCGATGCCCTAGGAGGTCTTGGGGATATATTTGGTATGCCACAGGCCCAGTCCTATGTCCCACCATCAGAGGTAAATATAAACTGCTTCTTTTCAAGGGAAAAGAAAATCTGCTACTCCAAAGGAAACTGATATTTGTCTAATTATGAAGAAAAAAAGTATAGTTTCTCTCAACTGTTTCAAACAGTTGAAAGTTAAAAAGTGTTAAAGGTCATTGTTTGATGCTAATTTTCGGATCATATATTTCTCCTCGGCATAGACAAGTTTCCAAATTTAACTCCTTCACCCTGAGCACACATTTGAACTCTTCTATCTTAAAGGTTGAAATAGTTTATTATGAAATTTCAGGGGTTAACAGCTTATATTATTATAGACAAGTTTCAAGATGAAGTTGTGGAAAAACAAGTTTATTGGAAAATGATCATTATATTGGACCCTGTCAGAACTGTAGAAAAATACTTCACTTCACCACTTCTGTTTACAACCGTTGTTAAAACAATGAAATGTTTCACAGGTTTGGTTACAAGCTGTCAAGGGTAAAGGTTTAGAAATTAATGGAACGTTCTCGCGGAAAAATAACGTGGTATATATGGAGTTCACCTTTACAAACCGAGCCATGCAGCCCATGTCTGGATTTGCTGTTCAGTTCAATAAAAACAGGTCAGTGTTTTGTCATGTGTTTGTCCATTACATCTATTATTCCAGGTGGCTGGGATGAAACTTTACATTTAGATACCATAATATACCTGGATTTTTTTGTGTCGAAATATTTTTCACAAAATGATAGAGCTTGTGACAAAGTGAAGGTATACCAGTTACAAACTTTGATCACTCGTGCTGTCGGTGCTGGGAAGGATCCTTCCCAACTGTTGTACATGTATACTGCTATTATGCGTGTAGGAGTGGGTGTGTGTGTGTGGTTGTGTAAGCATATGGGTGAACATATATCTATTTTTAAAGTAAATATTTGTTTCATATCGTTAAATGCTAATATTTTTGGCTTTCTTGCTACCTCTCTTCTATTCAATCATTCAATTATAATAATATTATAGATATTTAGCCATCTTATGATGTACAGTACATATATGTTTTATTAAATTGTAAGGAAAGGGCGATTATAATGTTCAATGTAACTTGTGCCCAATCCTTTTGCTTGATTTATGGCAATAAAATATGTTTAAACTAAACTAAACAAATTTTGTCTGAATTACTGTTACTTAATACTGCATTGATCAGATTTTTTTCTCTTTTTTTTCTTATAAAACTTCTAATGGGTATAATGCCCCTTTTCCTATTCAAGCATGCTTGTAATATTTATAAATTCTGGTCTTTTGTTGAGATTAATATATTGTTATATGGACCTCATAAAGTGATATTAACCAAGGACACAACAAGGTAGATACTACTCTATCAGGTTCATATATAACTATGTGTTGACCGAGACCAAAGTCCTTAATTTTCATTATCATGTCTTTAGATAACATGCGATATTAGATATCCAAATAGTGAGAATTAAGGGGGTGGTTTTCAGAAAAAAAATCCAGATCTAAATTTATAAACAGAAGGTTGATATGATCAGGTTCAAGACAAAAATAGAAACATGTGGAATCAATATGCTATAAATCGTCAAACCCGAGACCAAGGATGAGCCAGTTAGAATCAAGCAAAACCAGACCATAGGTTATATTTATTGATATGAATTTGAATGAGAAATATGTAAATGCATTATATATTTATATATCGGGTGTTTGTGTTATGATTTCTTTCCCAAATGCAGCACAGTCATGTAAATGTACGATATGTGATTTTAATGCTATTGAAAATAAATTTCCCAAATCTGGTTTTTGACAGTTTTGGTTTGACGGCTGCGGCACCTCTACAAGTTCAAAGCCCACTGTCGCCTAATCAGGGGGCGTCGGCCTCCCTGGAGCTCAATCATGTGGGGCCAGTCCAGAAGATGGATCCCCTAAATAACCTACAGGTAACTAGGGCACAGAAGGAAGTATTAACTAACTCACCCCTGAAGACACATTTGAACTCTTCCAATTCAAAGGTTGGAATAGTTGATTATGAAATTTCAGGGGTGAATGAATTAATAAAGTTGTGTTTTGTCAGTTGAATTTCTGTTCAGCATTTCCAGTGTCACTCAGAGTGTAAATGTCTTGAGATGGGATTTTGTCTCAGTTTCTGTCCTGAACAAAATAGTGGAACAATAATTCAATGATAATATCTGTTTGATTATGTTTGTACCCCGCCATTTTAAGGGGGTTGAGGGGGGACTATAATGTTAACCATGTCTATCCTGTTGCATCATAACCTGTCGTGTCCTGTCATGCTCAATTCTTTATCGTGACTCCATTTCTGAACAGAATTTCGTCAAAGTTTGTAAAGAAGGTCAAATGTGAGATTACTTTGTTTGAGTTCATAATTCAGGGTCTCAAGGTCAACATCAAGGTCAGTGTTGCTATTTATAGGTCAACCACAGGGCCAAGGGGGCATTCATGTCTTGCATATGTTTTCCAGTTTTTACAACATTTGAGCAATAAGTTAAATTCTCAATTTTATTATTGTACTCATTGTATGTAAAACATTATCATTGAAAATAATGATGAATTACTGTAATATTGCTTTCTGTATTTGTAGGTGGCTTACTGTAATCTTGCTTTCTGTATTTGTAGATGGCTTACTGTAATCTTGCTTTCTGTATTTGTAGATGGCTTACCGTAATATTGCTTTCTGTATTTGTAGGTGGCTTACCGTAATCTTGCTTTCTGTATTTGTAGGTGGCTGTTAAGAACAACATAGACGTGTTCTACTTTAGCTGTAGTATCCCGATGCACGTGCTGTTTGTGGAGGACGGTGAGATGGACAAGCGAGTGTTCCTGGCTACCTGGAAGGATATACCTGCCACTAACGAGGTCCAGAGTACCATATCTAACGTACAGCATAATGCAGGTAGGTGTGAGTGATACGGAAAATTGTAGGGTGGGCAATAATATTGTAGTGCCAGGATATTGCAGTTTGTGTTCTGCAGTATTTTTATTGCAATACGATTGTAAAATGGCAATATATTGCATTATTTTTTTCAACTTACTGTTAGGTAGGTTTAAGCAAAATTATGGAATCATTTTACCTCAAAATGTTAAGAATGAGGCAATATTTTCCCAGTTAAGCTTCTTTGGTTTGATATCGTCGAAACTTTTTTTCAGTCTATCATTCAAACTTTGCGGAAGTGATGCTTTCTTTTTCATATTTTCTATATCAAATCACTCTATCCCGTTAATGTACCAAATTTCTAGGTATACAATATATTGTGTTATACTGCAATATTCCATAAGTATTGCAATATGAAAATTGCTTACAGTACCAATCCTTAGAAAGTTGTTACATATTGATTTCATTGACTCATTCACCCCTGAAATTTCATAATGAACTATTCCAATCTTTCAATTGGAATAGTTCAAATGTGTCTTCAGGGGTGAATGAGTTAACAGTACAATTTTGTTTATCAAAGTTGTTAAGTGTAACTGCTTGTACAGTCCTAGTACAGCACTGATTTCAATGTATGCCCTAGACAGATAAAAAATAATAATGAAACCAGAAAATTTGATTGTAACAAAAATCTGAATAAAAAAAACACATATTTTTGAGAAAACTTTTGCATGTGTATTTTGTGTTTCGTTTTCTTTTCAGATACAGTTCAACAGAAATTAAGAAACAACAACATTTTCACGATTGCTAAGCGTAATGTTGAAGGTCAGGATATGCTATACCAATCTCTCAAGCTCACCAATGGAATATGGGTCCTGGCCGAGCTCAAGATCCAGCCAAGCAACCAGAACTTCATGGTATGCAAATCTTGTTCGGAAAAAGTCAAATACTGTTGTGATTGTAGACACAGGTTTGACGCCCGGGTCTCTTTAGTGACTTAAAAATACAAATGATGCAAGAATTTTTGACTTTTTTATCTTTAGAACTGAATATGCAATCATAATTACTGTCACTACCCATGGCAAGGCCTGCATAAACATTTGCAGGTCTGCCAGGATTTATACCTGAAATTGTTACATTTAAAAACAGACAAACCCGTTGCACTGGATAGGAGAAAGGGACCTAGGTTAACATTCTGTCCGCAGGTTCATCTGTCTGTTTGTCACTTTGTACAGTTACCAAATTTTGTGTGCCATTTTTCTTTGAATGATGGATTGTCAGTTTGTCAGTGCAATAAATTCAAGGTCCCTTTCACTTATCCGGTTCAACCATTTCAACCAGCTGAGTCTGAGAAGAAAATGGCTGGCTCAGATCTAAACTGAGACTGACGTCCGGGATGTTTGACACGTGGGTATCGAGGGGTCCAGACGTGCCAGACTGAAACAAAAATGTTGACTCCTGCTAGTGTGCATATTTCTTTTTAAAACAAAGTCAATTCACATGTATGTTTTTGGATATGTTATATTATTTAGTGGATGTGTTAAAGAAAGGCATATTATTCCTGATATGATGTTATTAATTGTCGAAAAAGTCTGAAACTGTGCAGTTTTAGTTTTGCTTAAAGTTTAGTCCAAGTGCATCCATTGAATATTTCTATGCCACCTGAACCGTTTTAACTGGGATATGCGAATGCGACCCGAGTCTTGTCTCCTACTATACATAGTTATGTCCCTTGGTTCACTGTACACCACTTTTTCTGGGACATTCACATTACTATACATTACAACTGACTGATTCTGTATGCCAGGATCCCTTCTGATGACAGAGTGTCACATATTTAAACCAGGGCCACTCTCATTGATCACAATCCAAATGGTTGAAACAGAGTTGTTCTCTTTTTAAACAAGGTCGGAAATAGTAATCTGATGCTTCTTTTAGGCAAGCCTGTACAAAGCCTTGCAAGGCCTACATAAACATTTGCCGGTCCACCAGGTTTGATACCCACAAATGTTACATCTAAAAACAGACAAATCGGTTTTTCTTCATAAATGGACAGACTCTGTGTCTTATACCCAACTTTATACAGATCTATGACCTATTGTTCATTTCCAATTACAGACTTTCTCTGAAGGTGAGGTATTACGGATTGCTGACATTCTTTTGCCTTGTATCATCATGTGGTAGAATTTTCATTTTGAGAAATATATGATATCTTAACTATCAATGTATTTAGAAGAAAAAAAATGTTGAATATTGTCAAATTAATGTTAAGCATATGTTTTGTGTTTGCAGCTCTCACTAAAGGCCAGAGCTACAGATGTTTACCCTGGAGTACAGCAGGCCTACGATACAGTCCTTCACAACTAGAGACCCTATACCTGTAAGTATTGAACCGTATTAAAACAAACTGTATATTTTTTAATAAATATTTCATTCTCTTATGAAAACAAAGAACAAAGCTTTGAAAAATGAGAGACTAAAAAAATATTTTTAGAATAAGATTTTACTACATCAGATATGCAATTTTCAGCACTTTATTGCATGTAAATTTGAAGGACAAAGCTTTTTCAAAATAAAACCCTAACAAATGTTTGTTTCAATTACTGCATTAAATAACTGAAAATTATGAACATATTAAATCTTTAATGTTGCTTTTCATTTGCAGCTTTGAAGATAGTGGGTATTACATCTAGTTTTGTTTTTTTACAGTTTCCAGAGGAAAGGTCAAGTGTACTGCAGTATACAACGTCTGCTGGTATTTACAGAGACTGAAATGTGAAAATATTCCTAATCACGGAATTGGAAAATAATGTTGGCATTCGTTGTATTGAGGTTTAACAACAGGGCATGTGATCAATCTATCTTTCATTGTGTGGTATTTTTAAACTTAAATATTTATATCAGACATCTAGTGTCACCGGACATCTTTTCTGCGAGACAGTAATTGGACCATAACTTGAGATTCTTAACTTTTCTTTGTGTATATTATCCTCATCAATAAAATAATAAGACATTTAACTTATTTCTATTGGAAGCTGAAAGATTAAATTATGAGTTCCCTCGATTGTTGCCATTTTAAATCATTACTACCATGTTTTTTTGATATTGATTAAACCCTTTCGCCACTGTAAACCATGACGGACTCGACCAAATAAATGTATGGAAGAGTCTACTCAAGATACATAGGGATGTAAAGGTGCTTTTCTTGATGTTATTGATTGCAAACAAATAAGAGATAAATAACTGGAAACTGAGATTTGATGCTCTTCAAAATGACCACCAGACTAATTGTAAGCTTACCAGGGCTAAACTGTTCCTTCATGCCTCTACATAAAAAAAACAAGAGGTTGCAAAATGTACCCGAGACTCGGCGTATTCAGTAAAGTGTTGACGTATATTATATTGTAAACAACGTAGCGGAACTGGACTGGGTCAATCGCCTGCAATCTGGTAGCTCTAATGATTTGAATGTATGTTTAGAGCTCACAGGACCCTGGTTTGAATCCTGGTCTGGCCGTTATTTTATTTATTTCTTGTTGTAGAAACATTTCAATTTATCGTATGAACTGCATAACGGTATGGCAGATGAAAGTTGTTGACCAGTTTTACTGTTCTGGCTCAGATCTTTTGACTACAATTGATAAAATACCCATAATGCTTTATATCTTCCAAATTTTGCGGGGTCTCATCTTTAACCTTCAAACATTTAAAACATTTAAGAAAAATCATAAGGTGATGAAAATTGTTTAAATTACGAGTCATTTTCATGGGATAGAAATTGAATGTTGCACCTGTAGTGTATTTTGTATACTGACGTTATCAGTTTGATTATGTTCCAGCTATATAAATGATTCTTATTGGAAACATGTGTTTAAGATTATTGTTGTATATTATAATTTATATCTGTACTTTGTAGTGGGTGTTAACTCCAGTAATAAAAGGATCACTCGTTGTTCTTTGATCATTTGTTTGCTTTATCACATACAAAACAATGACATTATTCTTCAATCTACTATAAGTTGAAGGTAGACTGGCTACCCGCCCCAAAGTTTTTATGAAGAATTTCTCAAATGCATTTTACTCCTAGCTTATCTCCCCTAGTTTTGAACTTAGAATTGGACATCCAAGTGATCAAAATTATTAGTTATTTTTTTCTAAATAATTCAATATTCTAGAGAAGGGGGCAAGTCTTAGGTGAAGGGAACCAACAAGGTAATGACAAATACTTGTAACACCCTTTTAAACAGAAGTATCGTCTAGTCACCAGTTTCCGCGCGTTATGTATTTCCGCGCAGCCATTTTATCACGCTATATCTTGTAACTACGTGACCTGCTGGACACAATACAAGGATAATTTAGACGTTTGTCCATTGTCTGTAAACTGACTCAAAAATTACCGGAAGTTCGTCCGGAAAACATAAGAAATAATCACCGATTAAAAAAACACGCATAAATATGCAGTTTTGCTTAATGCACTTTTTATCTTGCTCAAAATGAACCCATACCTGAAAAAACGGTGATATATTTTATTCATGAACCGGTCTTTTTTGTAGTCTGACAAACGTACGAAAATGTCGTATGTAAATGAGGCCATATCTCCTCGCCGATTTTTGTCCACTTCCGAAGAGCCAAGGAGACATTCTTATATCGATAAACAGTGTTTTCAATAAAACGTAAACCTTGTAATGCAATGAACTTCAAATTTTAACCAATTTTAAACAGAACAAAAATGAGAAATACAAAATGTAACTTACCATCAACCAAAACCGATATAAAACTGAAGAAAAAAAATAATAACAGATTCTATATTATAACTAAATAAATATAATAAATAAATTTATAAAATTACATGAATTTGTTCAAATTGACATCTTGAAAAATCCATAAAAAATATGCAATTTAAAAAAAGTTTTTTTGATAATTAATTTGACAATCAAAGATATATTTTTTATTCCAAACGAAGCTTTTGTTCTTGCAGGTCACTGTAGAGAATATCTTTTTAGTGTATTCGAGTTATCTTTCTTTGAACACTAAATCAGAATAGACACACGGAAACATATGACGGCTACTTCCGACGGGAGAAATTTGCTAAAAATTGTTTGTTCTGGGTTTTTTAAAATACAGTTTTATGTTGCTATTTTTTTGTTTCCTTTAGTAGATTGTATACATGTTTATGACAGTTTTCCGTAATTTCAACAGTTTTCTGCCGATATGAGTACGAAATCGCGGATGCTTCTTAAGTGCGCGGAAACCGGTAACCCGAGGATATTCAATAAAAATTACATATTCTGATGCATTTTCAAGAATCAAAATTAAATGGTTGAAAATGGAAATTAAAAAAGTATAATTGGCCGCAAAGCTAATGAATAACTGGACAGGGGAAGTTTAAACCAGAAAAAAATCCATTGGTGTTTCGTGTTTTATATAGAAGGGAGATTACTCCAACGTCAAAAACTCTCGAGTGGAACTCTTCTTTGTGGTTAAACTGATGCAGTGGTACCCTTTACCATTCCAAACACTTGTATCAAGTTTCATGGATTTCTGTTGAGGAATGAAGTCGTAAGAGCGATGACAAAGTTTTTCTAAATAACAGTGAACCTTGACCTTGAACATAGAAACCGGAAACGCGAACTTGTCCAATGTATTGCCGTACCAAACACTTTCATGAAGTTAAATGAAATTTCATTGAGTACAAAGTTTTTCTAAAAATAGTTACAGTGACCTTGACCTTCAACGTTGCAACCCGAAATACTACACACTTGTATGAAGTTTCATGAAACTGATTCTGTTGAGAAATGAAGTCGCTAGAGCGATGACAAAGAGTGTAACATAACGTACGTACTTCTGTTGCGTTGGGATAATACCCCAAGATTGAAATATTTGTATCCAAACATGATTGTTTGGCATAGTTACTTTCAAAACTATGTTTAAAAAAACACCATTAAATTTTGCTCTTTTTACATTTACTTTATAAAATTAATAAAAAAAAATACTCTTCATTTCCTGAAATACAATATAATGGGATATGTGTTGCAATACATGTTACACATATAGGGTTTAAGGGTGGATATTTAGGGACTAAATATCCACCCTTAAACCCTATATGTGTAACATTAAGTCAGTGTTCTCCGTGGCTATGGGTAGAAAGTTAACAGAGATCCCCGTATTTCTAGCACATCATAGTCACATGCTGAGCTGTTCAAAACGTTATACCCAACCTGTGGTCTGTCACCTGCATCCATCTGTTACCAAAGTTTCTCATTTCCTATCTCAGCTGGGATCGTGATAAAATCATCTTATTTGGAGGTTTCCTATGCTCCAATTTGATTCAGTTTAAAATGTGTCCATCAAGTTTGTTGCTGCGATTTCTCAGTAACCACTGACATGATCCCCTTGCTCGGACCCTAGTTGTGCCACTTCAAATGTGACCAATTTTAGATAAAAACTCAATGGTCATTGACCATTTTGGATCTTATATATGAATATTACAACAGCTTTTTTCTGGAAAGTACTAAACTAATGGGATCACTATGAAACTAGCCTGCGCCAGGTGTGCTTACATCCGGGCCGGCAAGAATAAATAAAAAAAAATATACATTACTAATTGTCGTAAAAAAATTAAAGTTTATAGTTTATAGACGATTTAGCTATAAGCTTCGTTGATGTGTCGTTCGCCCTTTGCTTTGTACGGGTTTTATATTCATTAACTGTCATCGTTCAAGAAATTAATGCCTTATCTAAATGGGCCTTTCACATCTTTTCTGTATCGCATGTGGACAAAATGTGTGTAGTCACAAAATATAGCGCGGCTGTGACTGACACGGGTCAGGGTCAAGCACAGAATGGGTGTAACGGTCTGTGTAAATTTCATTAACCGATGAATGTGGCAGGATGTTGACAGAATGCGTTAGTCACCAAGCTAGCAGACGATTTTTAATTTTAAGCGCACACATTTCAGTACTCAATACTTCTGCGAAATACGCGCAGATCTAGGTGTTAAAAAACAAAAACAATTCTTACTTTTCCTCATTTCTATTATGCAAGTTTAAGCATTTCAATTGTTTAATTACGTTAAGATTTGTTTAATTACATCTAAAATCGTCATTAAATTTTCTAGGTAGTAACACGGAGTTAGATTAGACCGATATCTAAGGCCGTGGTAGTAACTACAATTATTAATGAACAAATGGCCTGTCCTTCCAAAAAATACAGCACATTTGCATCGATATAAAATAAACACCCTCTAAATAAAATGGCCTACAAGAGCGATGGCCGACAAGAGCCTGACAAAAAGATATGAATTTCCATATCTTTTTGTAACACGGTACACTTTTATATGGTACACAAAGATATGAAATTTCAAATCATTTCGTACCAGGCGTTGTACATAAAGAGTATAAACAACTTTACAAAAAAACTCTTTACTTTCACATATATATGTACCAACAGCCGATATCAGCCGGCAAAATGTTTTGAATATTCATATCTTTCTGTACCGCGTTACACTTTTTTAATTTCTTTTTGTACCACCTACGGTACAAATATATATGAAAAAAGTGTACCACTAGAGCATCGGAATGTTGTTATCGGACACTATGACCAGAACTGACCCCGAATAGTGAAACCATAATTACAACGTCAAAACGAGTCGTGAAGTTCGTTAATCACTTCTGATGAAAAACAGAGTTAGTTGCAATTGTGTAAGTATTGGGGCCTTGACAGGGTCTCCAAAAGGGATAAAGGACACGTATATTTTCGTCATTTCCCTTGTTTTGATAGATGTCCAGATTATAAAAGAATCGTACAACTAGCTCATCGTATTTCCCCAAAACAAACTTTATAAAAAGGTAGCCTAGCTATTTATACTTCGATGTAATTAAATGTCCCCTATTGTCCCCTACGGACCCCGTCGGCGTTTTCAACTGATTTGGAGTTTCATTCATTTGAGAAGTTGAAGCAGATAGAATACATTAGAAATGTAAGTATTAGAAAAATAATCCATAATGACTTCCTTTTTAACGTAAAACATTTATAAAATTCGGTACATTGTAAAGGATATTGAATAGTTGATTTCAATTTAAATGAGTAAGATACCAGACATTCCGTGCGATAAAATTTCATTGTCGCATAGACGTGTCACTTTCCCTTTGATCCAGCTATGGTATAACCAACTTATTTTACACAGTTTTACTAATACCATATGGTATAAGTGAGGCTCCTCTCATATACTGAATACAATGGAATTCCAAAAGTTTTTATATATATATAACTTTTAACTAGCACATGTATTTTACTAGTAAGACTACCATGTTTATTTATATATCGATTGCGTAAATATGTTATTTTATCTAACACATGTATTTTACTAAACAAGAGGACCATGTGGAAGATTAGCCTTTGGCTAAACATGAAATTAATCCTCAATAAATAAAGTTTATTATTATAGTTTAACGTGGCCTATTAGTGAATGTTAACAGGATATCGACACCGTGAGAAATAACTAAAAACACAAATAATGGAAGTTCAAACACATTTTATTCGGCAACATTGTTGCAAACAATTCAACAAATTTCACCTTTCCAGGTTCCGCGGTCTATCTTTTTTTCCGTTTTGTAACTTACAACTTTTAGCATGATGTCTTTCTGACATTTTTTATAACATAAATTCTAGATTCAATGACATGTAGGCACAATATTGCCTAAGTCACCGACAAGTGGTATTTTAGGAAGAGCTGCCCCGAGACAAACCATATTGTATACTTTTATTTTAAGACCCTGCGATCAGAGTTAAGGTGTTTCATCGCATGCGATACATTCGATTACTGTTCGAGTTTACTTCCATAGTGTTTCAAGTGTTAGGCCCATTGAACAATTCTATATTACAGTAATTTTTCTTGGGGGGGGGGGGGGGATATCCTATACCTTGGAAAGTAGACGCATGTTACAAGGATGCC